ATTTTCGATCGATATCTCTTGAAATTCGGTATCTATCATTGTTCATCATTATCAGTGATAATTTAATATTGAGAAGTAGCTCGGGAGGCTTCATTATTATGAAATTCAGATTTAAAACTTCAATGCCATGTATCCGATAATCATTGCAGTACTATTTTCTGCTATTAAATTTAAAATGTATTATAGCTATTATTTTTTAGTTATTATTCATGTTGTACGATCCTAATAAATTGTTTATTATTATCAAAATATATTATTACAAATCCTTATAGAAATATAATACTGGCTAGTAGTTAATTTATTACAGAAAAAAGATTTGTTTGGAGCATTAAAACCTTTGAACAACATGTTTTTAATTACTTAAAATAAGTAATTAATTATTGTCTTTCAGTATTAAATTGACTAGTATTAGAATTCTGTAAAGGATTTATCATTACGTACAAAATATCTTTGAAAAGTATGTTACATTAAACATATATAGATACTTGATAATTAATGTAAAGCAAACTAGAAAATTAAATTATGATTGTTGTATAGTCGAGTTTTAGACAAGAATTGATTACATTTGCAGCAGGTACCGACGACATCAGACGTATCAGACACCATCCCAACGACGACTATGACGATGATGACGATGACATTAACAACGGCGATAACCACTTCCAATGTAAACACAACCCGAATGGGCGAGATCGCGCCTATGACAACGCCAGCGACCATTTTCGGGACAAGCGTTGCACCACGGGCTTCCGATGACATTTTTCAAGTGTAGTCTTTGTCAAGTATAACAATGTTGCATGACGAAGTCAATGGACTCTCAATTTATTAACGATCTTTTTATTGTATTTGCAAGAATCAATCGTCAACAGTATCAAGATGGAAACGCGTACACAAAAGACGTAGAAACATTTTTGCGATAAAATAAAGCTCTGTATCAATAGAGATAAATGCACAAATACTGCGAATAAGTTAAATCCGTATTTTGCCCACGTTAAAAAGTCAGTTTATGACAAACGACATTAAAAAAAAGCCATTTACGTGAAAAATCTTTCTTACAACAATTATACAAAGAATCGCGATTTGTAATTTTATAACTCTCTCTCTTTCTCTCTCTCTCTCTCTCTCTCTCTCTCTCTCTCTCTCTCTCTCTCTCTATTAAATTTTTAATTTATTTCGAAAAATTTAAGCGCGAATTAAAAATTATACGTTTACTTCTTTAATTTAAAATATTACAATTTTTAAGCTCACCCACAGCATAAATTTTCAAAGGATGTTCTAGATACGTCTGACCGGATGTCTGATATCTTAAAGACGTTTCCAAGACGCTTCGGATAAAGTATACTATGGACGAGTTCAAAATAATACGTTATTATGTATTTGATCCAATTTAATCTAATTTAATGCATAATTACGGAATTTTTAATTTATCTTTTTTTGCTTTTATATAGTTTGGAACATAGATATTGAAAATTGATGCTGACTTTATAATACGGACGAAGTATTACTGCAGATACAAGGCACTTTCTGGATGAATGTATGTATATACTTGGGCACAAGTGTACTTAATGAATTAGAAGGTGGCGACATATTTTTACTTGATACTTAAACTGATAAGAATTTATGAAAATGCTTGGAAAAAAGCAGGGTTTAACGATACAATCAGAGCAATGGAATAACGGAAATTTTGGATGGACAATAGGTACAAGCAAAAATATTGGAAGAGCTTAACATCTATGTGTGAGTTGGAGAGAAAACATTTATGCTTAATGTGTAAAGATTCAAAGTTGATGAGACAAAATATTCCAAAATAAATTGAGAAAAGAGCGTTTCAATGCTTTGAAGTAATTGAATTGAGAAACCATATATTCGCTAAATGAATGAATTTGTTTGATCCAAAAATTTTTGGTTATAAGATATATAATTTTATAAAGCTCATTGTCAGCAAAGAGACTGCATTTAGAAATTAACTCTGTCAGAAATAAATTGGATAATATCAATACCCAGACGGCACAGAATATTTATAATAAATATTTATTACTATTCATTTTTTTGAAACGTTATATAGATATTTTAGACATATTTATATAAAGCTTTATTCAAAATATTATTAAAATATAGATTAAATATTTTATGTAGTACTTATGATGAATATAAATAAATATTTATAGCAATTATCTTTTACTTGAATTCTGATGTCTTATTAAGTACTTTCATAGCATTTACTACATTTACAATAAATATTTCATAATATTTACAATAAATGTTTATGATCTGCAATCTACTCCACAAAAATATTTACAAAATATTTCAAATAAGTCTTATAAATATTTTGTACATATTCTATAAATATTGTGTGCTGTCTAAGTAATTCATAACAAGAAGTTGTTCTAACTAGTCCAACTAGTTGTTTTGATTAAAATAATTTAATTTATAATATTGTAATCATATCGAAATATGTAATTACATATCAGATATATGCATTATAATGATAAAAGCATTGATTCGCTTGACAATATTACTATAAAAAATGCATAATAAAATGAAGTTCCCTTTTTATAATTCTCATAATACGTATGAATATAAACGTACTTCATTCAGAGTACATACAATAAAAAATATTCAGTTTTCATCAAGATAAATTGCATTATTATGTAAAAATTATGATCGAGTCTCTCATTTCGATGACAATATATATCTGTTTAATAATTATTGCATAGTTACAAATAATTGTCATACAATCGTTTGTTTTAAATTAAATTCATAAGCGACTTTGTGAAATTGTTCATCAGCGTGTGATTACATATCAACAGGTTCTAAGACATTCCATTCAATTTCGATCGAAATCGTTGTATCATAAATTTTTCATTGAAAAATTACGTAGAAAAATTATTGAAGGGATAATCTCGAGTGGAAATCGAGACTAAATATACTTCAATATATAAAAATGATACAAAAATAATATAATCTATAGTTCGGACTTAACAAAATACAATTATAAAAGCCACGAGAATTACGCCGCATTGTTGCTATTGCAGTTACTTCGCTTTGCTAATTGAAGTGGCGTGCAATATCAGGTGATTTGTTTTATTTTCCCAACGCAAACATTCCGTTGACTTGTTTTTAGGCATGAAAAATGAAATGACTTGTGCATTCGTTAAATATGTACACAGCGCGATGTCTTTTATACCCTTAGACGAATGCAGCAAAATATCTATATGTAGATATTGCATATAAATATTGTAGAAAATTTGTTGAAAATAAATCACTATCACCTGCCTTCGTTTAAACACAATCAGTCGTCATACAAACGAAACGAGGACTTCGATTGTATGTGAATTTCCATTTTGTTAATTATTATTTGAAAATCAATTAAATTAGTTAGATCATATTTCCATACAATACATAAGATACTTTTAAATTAAATAAAAAAAAATTTCATTTCTAAAATATTTCACGATGTCTAAAAATTCGAATGACTCGAGAAAACTGCGAAATCTTCTCTACTGCGTCATATTTCATATTATACTGTCATATTCTACAATTGTTTGCTGACATTAATCGTAAGTTAACATAATCGATGCATTTCGACACGAGCCTTCCAAATGCAATCTTTGGTCACTAGATTTGTATAAAGTGTAAAACATAAAATTATTAAGAAACATTATACCAAGCAGAACAACAATAAATAAGTCACATTATAACATCAAAATGATATTAAAATCGTTGAATCGTTATTAATTGAAAAGTGTACATTTAGTAATCATTTTAAAATTATTTTCACGTCATTTTGATATTATAATGACTTGTATTATGAGTATATATCATATATACACGTGATATCACACGTTCGTAATTAAAGATTTATCTACGGAAAATCGGAGATGCATCAGAGAGGCGTAAATCTATTGTTATAGCAAAACGTATATCAACATTCTCGTGTTCGGATAATTTACGCTGCCTTTTCCCGAATAAATAATAAATGAAAAAGAAGATAAAAAGCGTTGAAGAATATTCTTAAACGCTGCATAGCGTGAACGCTGCATAGGCATACATATTTACACATAAAAATTCACGTACACACGTGACACAGAAGTAAGATTATCTGAGGGTCTAAGTACAAAGACGGCCGTATCTGAATCGTGAAACGTGAGTCGTAGTTATAAGTCAACACACAATGTTTTGGCGCAACTATACATCGATATGGCATACATAATTACGCCAGAACATTGTGTATTTGTCTACACTTATGACTCACGTTCCACAACTCAGTTACGGTCGTCTTTATACTCAGCCCTTACGTATTGTGTTCGACAACGATCGCACCTGGTTATTAGGCTCGGTCACAACTGTCGATCGATGATCTATTATCATTAAGGAAAGAAGTGGAGGAGAAGATATATGAACTTATATCACATAACACAGCCCACATTTCTCCGAGATACTCAATACTCGACTTGCCGCCTGATTTACAAAAGTCGATGTTATCGTTTTATCCCGGTTTTAAATGTTTACTTATGTATAATAAGATTGTAATATAGTCGTTGAGCCAAATAAAGCTCGTTTTTCGATATAAGACATATGTAGATGCGTGTAATTATTTCTTCTTAAGTTAAAACGTTGCTGAAAAAGAAAAGGAGTTCAAAAAATTAACGCAAGATTTCCATAATACAAAACTTCTTGCATTGTTAATGTACATCGTTCCTCTCTCTTCGCCCAAGGAGATTCATTTAATTTACTAAAATCGCGTTATGCTTATGAAGGACAGTTAATGGCACGCAATCTAAACTTCATTAATGTTACAGAAGTAATATATCGTTCTTTATTCTACGTGAAACATTAGGGAGAACGACATTTATCAATGTGTTTGGCTTTTACACAAACTTTATTATTCTTTCTCCAAAATATTATATATCACAAAAAGCTTCAATGTAATCATTTGCAACTTATTGCGAAACGTGTTGGAAATTAGGAAGAAGAGGTACTAGCAAGAAAAGGTGAAAATGGAGGAAGAAATTCATGTGCAAGTGGAAGACAACTCGCCCTCTATAGAACACAGTTTACGTCTGATATCGTATACTTCCTGGCTTCTCGGTGTTGGCATTGCACGTCCGCGAAAGTGTCCCAAGGCCATCACAATAACGCTACGAATTGTTCACCTGGCTGTGTGTTCCGTTATCGTAGCGTATGGCGCAATAGATTTCTTCACCTTCGGTAGTGTCTTCAAAAGTGACATATTCAAGATCATGTACTACATGAACAAGGTGATGTGCTATGTATCGACATACTACTACGTTTATCATGGGATCAGACAATACGACAAGTGGCCGGAGTTGATGGACAGAATAAAGGAGATAGATCAGAAGATCAGAAAGGAAATCCCCATGAATGATCGGTCTATAAAAAATGTAGAAACGCTAGCTATTCTCATGATATTCGCTTGTGGCCCTTTGTCCCTCATCGTGCACGCCCTGTATTACTACTTTACACGTCCTGAAAACATTTTTGCGTCCGACTTGCTACTTTATTATACGATAGCCCAGTCATTGATCAACAGTTTTGTCTTTGATGTTGTCGTCTATGTTTTGTATCGTAGATTTCAAACGATAAATGAATTGATCGACCAACTGGATCAGCTATTCGGTGCACTGTGGATCGCGCTCAAGATTAGACGCATCAGAGAATTGCATACCGGTGAGTCTTTTCAAATATTATCTTTTGTCAATGAAAGTAAAGGACTGATGAGTTTTAACAGGTTCTTCATGAATTCAATTTCAATTTTATAATGCGTGCAATTATTTTGTGCGATGATATTTTTTATTATTATAATGTACAATTTATCTAACACACCGAAAATAATTTTAATAAAGATTGAAACGATATCTGTGGCTATGTAGTAGATTATAGAACATTATTTATGAATTTTTCAATATATTTCATGTGTTTTTCAGTATAGTTAATGTGTATAAAATTTGATTAGTACAGTTTTGTTTACTTCTGTTGGTTTTTATCTTACAAAACCAGAAATATCTTTTTAATTATCTTTTGTATTGTAATTCGACACATACGCACACACTATCGAATTGCAATATAAAAGATAATTAAAAAGAGATTTCGAGCCCCATATATATATATATATATATATATATATATATGGCTAGAAATGTAATTCTAATATGAAGATGATTATATTGACTCAAAATTTTGTTGAACAAGTTGTATTATGTAGGTATCTGTGATCTCGTTATCATGGTGAACGATATTCATGGCTTTCATCTCCTTCTCTGTTCGGCGAACTGCTTCACTATGGTTGTGGCTACTCTATTTAGGATCTACATGGGTGTCGTGGAAAAGAATTATGCGTTCATGGTGATAAATAATATTCTTTGGATTCTGTATGCCACGCAGTTCGGGCTGATGTGCTGGATTTGCACGCTCGCGCGTAAAGAATCTGATAAGATTGGGATAAGTATATATGCGATTGTATTGAATTGCAAACCTATGAATCTTGATAAGCTGAACGGTGCGAGGAATCAATCAAATCTAGAGATGTCACCACCATTGGAAGGACCGGATGGCGAACAAAATTCTAATCGGAGCAGCAGTTACAATCTGAACTATGTTGTCATGGAAAATATTTTACGCAAAAATCTGGACCGAGACTGTGTCAGGAACGAGGTCAATGATTTTTCGATTCAACTGCAACAGCATCGAATAGCATTTACAGCCTGCGATTTCTTCGAAATGAACAATGCTCTGCTCAGTAATGTGAGTACACAATTCGTTAAAATTTATATATAAAATTTATTTAAAAATTTATATAAAACTTCTTTCAAATTTTAATAAATAGGAATTAAAGGAAATTTATTTTTTTATTATTCTGCAGTTCGTCGGAGTGATTACCACTTATCTAATAATCCTCGTTCAATTTTATCGACCTGAAAATCCAGATGTGCAATTCAATAGAAAATTCCGCTAAGCGGAATATTATTGTGGTAAGAAATTAAAAAAACATCATAGTTTTTTAAAATTAATATTAAATATATTAATAAATTAATTTATTATAACAAACTTATTACTATATAATACAATACAATTACATTAACACAGCTCGTAATATCTTAGAAAATAAAAAATTTATTTTTACAAAGAATAAACTGAAATGAGCGTACTGAATTGAAGTCAATGATAAAATGTTGTTGAATGTGAAACAAAATTAAATGATACGAAATTTAGTGTAATTGTAATAAAAGAAGAACAGAAGTTCGTTTCATTTAATCAACTTCCTCGATGGTTGGTCCAGCGCCACCGGCACCAGGATTGGCTCCTGCTCCGCCAGCACCAGGGAACCCACCAGGCACTCCACCACTTTGGTATAGTTTTGTGACGATAGGATTGCATAAAGCTTCCAGTTCCTTCTGCTTGTCAACGAACTCTTCCTTCTCTGCCAATTGATTGGCATCCAACCAGGAGATGACTTCGTTGCATTTAGAAAGAACTTTCTCCTTATCGGACGCATCAATCTTATCTTTAACTTTGTCGTCCTCCATTGTGCTCTTCATGTTGAAGCAATATGACTCGAGAGCATTCTTGGCGGAAATCCTCTCCCGCTGCTGCTCGTCCTCCGATCGGTACTTTTCGGCTTCATTCACCATCCTCTCTATGTCTTCTTTCGACAAACGACCCTTATCATTGGTAATCGTGATCTTATTTTCCTTGCCCGTAGATTTCTCGATCGCAGAGACATTCAATATGCCTGCAAAATGAAATACACGGAAATATGAGAAATAGAAAACGTTATATAAAACATTATAATAATTAATTTAACAATGATTTTCGACTTGAAGTTATCAATGTTTGCTATATGTTTGCAACTTACCATTGGCGTCGATATCGAAAGTGACTTCGATTTGCGGAACACCTCTTGGTGCTGGAGGAATGCCCGTCAGCTCAAATTTGCCAAGGATATTATTATCTTTCGTCATCGCTCTCTCTCCCTCATAGACCTGGATGAGCACTCCTGGTTGATTATCGGAGTATGTGGTGAACGTCTGGGTCTGTTTTGTTGGTATTGTCGTGTTCCTCTTAATCAAAGTGGTCATAACGCCGCCAGCGGTCTCAATACCCAATGATAACGGAGTCACGTCCAGCAGAAGTAGATCTTGGACTTCCTCAGATTTGTCGCCGTGCAGAATGGCCGCCTGAACTGCTGCACCATAAGCAACAGCCTCGTCTGGATTAATGGATTTGTTCAGTTCCTTGCCGTTAAAGAAATCTTGAAGTAACTTCTGAATTTTTGGTATTCTAGTGGAACCACCGACTAGAACGATGCTGTGAACTTGAGCTTTATCCATCTTGGCATCTCTAAGAGCCTTTTCCACGGGTTCGAGAGTGCTTCTAAACAGATCAGCGCAGAGCTCCTCGAATCTGGCTCTAGTGACCGATGTATAGAAGTCAATCCCCTCAAACAATGAATCAATCTCAATGCTCGCCTGCGTCGACGAGCTCAACGTTCTCTTTGCTCTCTCGCAAGCAGTCCTTAAACGTCTCAGAGCTCTCTTGTTACTGCTCAGATCTTTCTTGTATTTCCTTTTGAATTCTTGCACAAAATGGTTCACCATTCGGTTATCAAAGTCCTCACCACCAAGATGCGTGTCGCCAGCCGTGGATTTCACTTCGAAGATACCATCCTCGATCGTCAGAATCGACACGTCAAAGGTACCACCACCCAAGTCAAAGATCAGAACATTCTTTTCACCTGCAGCCTTTTTATCAAGACCATATGCTATCGCAGCGGCTGTGGGCTCGTTTATTATTCTGAGAACGTTTAAGCCAGCAATAGCGCCGGCATCCTTTGTCGCTTGTCTCTGAGAGTCATTGAAATAAGCTGGCACAGTGATGACGGCATTTGTTATAGTTTTACCCAGGTACGCCTCCGCCGTCTCCTTCATCTTCGTCAAGACCATAGAGGACACCTCCTCGGGGAAGAAAGTCTTCATCTCACCCTTATAAGACACTTTGATTTTTGGTTTGCCGCCATCATTGACCACCGTGAATGGCCAGTGTTTCATGTCGCTCTGCACCGTCGCATCATCGAAACGACGACCGATCAAACGCTTTGCATCTTTAGAGAAAAACGATAAGAGATTCATAAATTGTCTGTTCCTTTAAAAATTATTTTTTAGAAGCATAGTGCGATGAAATGAAGAGGATCCTGTGTCAGATTATAAAAGAATGATTGCGATTTGTTGAATTGGCGCCAAGCCGAAAAACAGATTGTACGAAGATAATTTCATGTAAAAAAAATCATGAAATATAATCTATCGTAAATTTTATTTTGTAATCGTGAAAATAGATCCAAAGAAATTCATAAAATAATTATTGCATGTTATAATATATAAAATATGAAAACCTATATACATATATTATAACATATATTTCTATTTTATATTTAAA